TGTGGCCGGCAGGCCACCAAGAAATGAGGGAGGTTGCAGGGGTGATTATGCAAGAAATAAATGCTATCAACTCAAATAGGTTGGTGGCCAAGGCCTAAACCACCAAACCTATGAGGACCATTACACTACAAGAATACTATACAAAGCATAAATGACATGAACAACTTAAAACAGTCCTAAAATAGGCTAAAACAGCACCAAATTAAGGTGAAAACATCGACAAAAGCAAACTAAAATAATGAAGCAATTAAGCTAGCGAACAAGCCAAAGGAGGGGAGGTTAACCCCTCCATTTTTTGGACTTCAAAACCACATTTTAGCCTCTGAAAAAACCTCTAGAATTCAGTGGTAAAAAAGTCAAAAAAAATTGATGAAGATATGGGAAACACAACGGCAAAAGCTTGGAAAACAAGGTTTAAAGAAGGCTGGTTAACCCCTCCACCTTAGATAGCACTAAGTCACAAGTTTTGGCCCATAAAAATAGTGTAAAAAAAATACAAAAATAGAAAGAAAAGATGGATGAGAAGTTGTGTAAAGAAGGTAGAAGTCATACCTCTTGAAGAGAGATAACTCTTTGTTTCACAAATCACAAGGCTTTCACTCTCAAAGGCTAAAATTTGGATTCAGTAATCTCAGCAAGAAGAGTTCAAATATTGGTTTAGGAAATGTTTTGGTAAGGTGTGTGTGTGTGTGTTGAAAGATAGAGAGAGAGAGAGAGAGAGAGAAAGAATTTCAAGTTTTGGGGCTTTTGGAATTTTTTGTAACCTCAAACCAAGAGGAAAGGTCCCCTATATATAGAAACATATGTGACTAGGTCGGAAATATCCATATAGAGATAGCTGGTGTATTGCATGCACTTATGGAAACAACTGGCACAGCTAGCAGAAAATACCTGATTTTTGGCACAAGTGACCGGCCGGCCACTAATAGTGTACGACCGTCCACCATTTGTAGCCGGCAGGCCACTAGTGGGTCCAATCCACTCAAAATGGCTGAAATTTCTAACTGGCCAACCGTACACTTTATTGTATAGCCGTCCACAAAAAGTGGCCAGCCGGCCACGAAAATCTACTCTCAAGTCCAAATTCAAATGGGTATATCTCCCTCATTTGGACTCCGTTCTAGGTCGTTCTTGAGTATAAATTGAAACCACGGGAGTATAATTTCAAATGGTGGTGGACTCACATCTAAATTCTATGTTTACAAAGAGATATGCCTAATTTAGTGAAGGCTACTCATTTCTCTCTTAATGGTTTAATGCTCAACCTTTCTCCCAACTAGTTTTCTTTTGTCCCCTCCTATTTCCTTCAACTTCAAACCTATAAATAAGATTCTTTTAAAGATTTTTCAAAGAGTTCACCTCCCTTCCATTCATTTCCACTTTGTCTTTACTCGATTTACCAAAAAGTGCAATATTTTGAACGAAATGGGAGCCTCAAAACTCCGTAGAAACATTTGGAAAAATATTTTGGAAAATAAAGTTTTGAGTTCTAAAATAGTTTTGGTCTAAAATAGTTTTGTTCAAAAATGGGGTGTATGGTTTTGGATTAGAAGCTCTTCTTGCTGAAGAAATTGAATGTTTGTACAACGTATATTTTCATCATCGAGTGATCAACCTGAGGTACCTAAGTCTTAGGGGCGGTCAAAATGGAGTGTCTACAGTTGCCCCTCTTTGACAGAGCTCGAAGTCATGAAATGATGTGAGTAAATGTCAAAACTCAAACACGACCCATTTTGACGAGGCCGTAAGACTTGGGCAAACAAACAAAATGCAGATATAATTAGTTGAACCCGAGGGTTGCCTACGTATCCCTTTGCAAGGAATCAAACCAGTGTAGTTCAGGGGCAAAATGCAAAATGGTACACAATGTAACGAAATAATCAAACCACAAACAGTGCCTATCACACAAACATCATAAAGGAATGGAGATACAAATCAAACTACGTTTTATATAGAAAAGAAGTGGGCATAGCCAAACGACGCCTAACACAAGCTAAGTGCCTACATTCTCAATACTGGCCTTAGTGCAGCACGGATGCTTACACATAACAGAACCATGTTTCAACGTGAAAGGGGTGTGGGCACATGTAGAACTATGTTTTTCGTAGAAAGAGTACAAGTAATTAGGTGGTATGATATAAGTGAGGAATGATCTGCTAGGGAAATATGAACTGGAAATAACAATGCAATGGGATAATAATGATCCTAAACGTGTTTACACGAAAAAGATGGATGCAACAAGATAAAGTATGATGCAATGGATGCAATGAACAAGGGGCGCAAGTCGAACTACGTCTTACCTAGAAAAGGTATAGGCACAAAACAGACCACATCCAACACAGAAAATGTGCTGACACCCCTAATACTGGCCTCAGTGCAGCATGGGTACTTACACATGACAGAACCATGTTTCAACAAGGGAAAGGCATGAGCACATGCCAAACTAAGCTTAACATGGAAAGGATGCAGGCAATAAAATGGTATGATGTAATCGATGTAATGGATAATGCAGTAGATACAGGAAATAAATTCTATATGCAATGTGATAGAGGTAATAGATAATAAAATGTGATATAGCAGTTATGAAGTAGTGCTTTAGAAAGTATCTGGCAGGGGGCAATTGGTAATGACTCACCTTTTGCTACTGGGGATCTTCCTCTTCTTCTTTCTTCATCTTGCGCTTCCAAACCATAGGTACTACTTTTCTCCCTAGCTATGTTTGTAACTTTCCCTATTCTCCAACAGGGTGACAAACTAGGTTGGTTCAGTATCCAGAATTGAAGTGCATACAAGCTACCTCAACCTATGGGGCTGCTATACAGATTTCAAATCGAGGATACACCCCAGGGTATTCAAACCAGAATTTAGTCTCAAAAATTCCAAACTTTTGCATTCTAGGCCTCGACTGTTTGAACTCTAGTTCCTACCATCTCAGTTGGTCTCCTAAGAACTCACTACAAACACAATCAGGTGGCTATACCAGACCGTCTGAAGCCGTTTGGTCACGATAAACACCAAAGGAATTGCACCTTTAGAGGATTTAAGGTCTCCTAGACCCTGTGAGTGCACAAGACAGTGCGGGTGAGGTATACAACATAGTGTGGGGTGAATGAATGCACAAAATAGTGCTATGCAAGTTTAATGCACAAAACAGTGCTATGCAAGGTTAATGCACAAAACAATGCGATATAGGTGTACAAAACAGTGCGAGGCAGGCGAATGCACAAAACAGTGCGATGCAGGTGCACAAAACAGTGCGATTCAGGCAGTGGCAGAGCCAAGAAAATAAATCAGAGGGGGCACTTCTTAATTACAACATTACAAATATTTACAAAAATATTTTATATAAATTTTTACGATTGACTTTAAGAAATATAAACCAAAAAAAAAAAAAATCAATGTGTTTGATTTGAGTTTTTTGAATTAAATTTTTTGAAAAATAAGTTTTTTTTTTTTTTAGTGAATATTTTTAAAATTTTAAGCATTTTTTTTTTACTTTTTTAGATACATGATGTATCTAAAAAAAATAAAATATTTGTGAAAAAAATATTTTAAAAAATTAATAAATACTTAAAAGTACGAAAAATGTATTGATTTTTTGTATTTTTTTATATTTTTGGTATTTAGTGAATTTTTTAAAGATTTTTTCAAAAATTATACTTTTTAAGTATACTTATGTTAGGTGTGTCTAAAAATTAAAAAAAAATCTTAAAATATTAAAAAAATTCAATAAAAATTAAAAAAAAATACGAAAAACAAAAACGTAGAATTTTTTGAAAAGTATTTTCAGAAAACTCAAACCAATGAAAACTCAAACCAAACAAAGTGAATATGTTATTTGTAATTAGTGTATCATGGACAACATTAAAAAAAGTCATGGATATAAAGTTTTAAAATAAATTATATAATGATAAAGTAATTTTTTTATACAAAATATGCGTAAAAATTCAATATAATAGTTATACCACGCAATCATTGACATGTGATATTACCAATCAATAATAAAGAAACACATAAAAAGTGAACCCTGCATATTAAATGTAACTAACAATTCAATAAATTCTATGTTTTCATTGAAATTAATTATATTTGCATATCAATAATGATAGAGATCACCATTATATTGAAATTCTCATAGATAATAATATCAGTCTCTTTATTTTCAATCAAAACAATCATTATTGTTCTTATAATTTTAAAAATGTCATTAACATTTCACTTTAAATAATATTTTTATAATTTTTTTTATATAAAATCTTTATGCTTGTAAAAAAAAAAAAAAAACACTCCAAAACTTAGGGGGGGCACGTGACCCCCTGAGCCCTCCTTCCCTCCGCCCCTGGATTCAGGGTACACAAAACAGTGCGATACAGGCACAGGCACTACAAGAAATAACACTTTTAGCGACCAACTTTTTGGTCGCAGAAAGTTCATATCTGGTCGCTAATAGTTTTTAGCAACCAAAAAAAATTAGTCTTAATTTAGTCGCCAAAAGCTCATCAAAAAAAGTTTTTGGCGACCAGAAGTTAAGTTGGTCACGGAAAGTTCTAATCTGCGACGACATATTTTGGTCGCAAAAAGGATTTTAATTTGTCAAAAGTTGATAATTTTGCAACCAAAAAATTTGATCGCCAAAAATTAACATTTGTGACCACCTATTTTGGTCACTGAAAATTGTCATTTGCAACGACCTATTTTGGTCGCCGAAAGTTAACATTTACGACCACCTATTTTGGTTACTGAAAGGGTTTAAATTTGTTGAAAGTCCAAATTCGTTACTATTTATTTAGTCACTGAAAGTCTATGCTTGGTCACCAATAGTTACTCTTGGAACCTTCTCAAACACCTATTGTGACTAAAATTTTATTGGTCGCAAAAGAGCTTTCAATTTAAAAATTTTAATTTTTTAAATCTAATGCTATTTTTTTTTAATACCTATAATACATTTGCAATTAACGCATAATTCATTTCCATCAAATCAATTTCAACATACCAATCCATCAAGAATATAGAGGATACTTTAGCTATAGTTAGTTAAATCAGCCTACAAAATAGGGCAGGACAAAAGTGGGTTGCCTTCAATCACACAAAAACATTTACAAATATCGCACCAACACAAAAACTACCAACAACATACAGATTTCCAAAAAAGGTTGTATTGTATGTAAGCCATTGCACATTTAACAGACAACAAATCCTCAAAAACAAAACAATAGTTGAAGTCTCCCTTTGATGATGGTACAAAATTCTTGGTCAGCCTTACATGCACTGGAATAAAAAATAGCTACCGGATCTTTTGAAGCATTTCCAGTGTCTTGACATTTTGTCATGCCTGTTTTGTTCTGGCAATATATGTTCACTAACAAGAGAAATAATAGAAGTTACTAGGTAAACTTGGAAATTGTCACATAAAATTACTATCATCAACAAGGTCTCGAATATGAGATGCCCAATGGACTAGAAACTAAAACAACCATTATGAACAATAAAATAGCGTCAACATCACTTCAGCATTATCATTCGAGTAGCAATCTGAAAGAATATGGTTATAACCACAAAAGTAGAATTTATGTGATTTGGTAAGCAAAAAGTAGAATTTTAAGTGATATGGTTACAACCAAAAAGTAAAATTTTCCCAATGTCAATTCTAATGGGAGTTCTTACACTTAGGATTGGATTCTTATAGTTATTTCCTAGTAAAATTAGGATTTCCCTACCATTATAAATTTAGTTATGATCCTCTTGACTAAGTAGAAATTAACTCAACCTACCAATTACATTCCCACTAAAATTAATCAACATTTGAAAAATATAGAACAAGTTAAGCTTGCAAAAATGCATTAAGTGTGGGTATATATATGTATGTATTCAGATCTTTATTAGTCTTATGATAATTGGATTAAACTATCACGGAGCAATGGTATGAAAAGGATAGAACGAGTTAAGCTTGCAAAAACGCATTCAAACCATGCACTAGCAAGTGTGGGTACCATCTCCATATGAATTTAGCAATGTATCAAGGTTGTGGAAAGAAATAATCCTACTTGCCTCATCTAGTCTTGCTTTGGTTAACTTCTATCTGACCAATTTTAGGATTAAAGTTGGGGATGGCAGGAGGATTCAAATGAAAAAGAGGACTCAGATTGTTTGGCTTATCAAATGAAAAAGAGGACTCACTAAGGCATTATTATCAAATGAGAGTACTTGACTCAAATTAAGGAGATCACAGATACACCAATTGAAGAACAAGTTTTAGATTGTTATCAAATTCTTGTTCTATGGAAGAGTACTTGACTCAAATTAAGGAGATAGTAGATCAATTAGCCCAAGCCTCTTCACCAATTAAGGATGAAGACTTTGCTCTACTCACGCTTATTCGTTTTTTGTACTAATATATTATCTGTCACTAGCAATTGCGAAGACGTGACATCCAGATGCATAAATAAGGTTGCAACATAAGAACAAATAGATAACAACCAAAACAGACTTGGAAAATGCCTCAAAAATGGCAACATGCAACCTATACTTTGTTAAGGAACAATAATGATACAAACCAAGAATTCTGACACAGAAAAATACCAAGAAAAACAATGTGTGGTCCAGATTTATTCTAAGTGTGGATCCCACCATACATGAGTTGAATCTGGACCACAAATTTTTTCTTGGTATTTTTCTACGTCTACGTTCTTGAACCCTAGCTTTAAGTAGTTATAGTTTCAGAAAAAGCAAAACCCAAAAAAATAAATAAAATAAATAATAAATAATTAAAATTTCCTAGTTCTATTTAAAAATGGATAATGAGTAGATTATATTTACACCTGGCTGAACAACGTGCTGTAAAGTGCCATGAGACTATTATGTCCAACAGCTGCACAAGCCTTTCCAGCAAGTTCAACTTGTGGTTTTTGGAGATCAGCAAAACTGAAAGGAAATATGGATTTAAATTCATATTTAAATAATAAATCTTAAAAAATGCCAAAATGAATGCAAAGCCAATACCCATCTCTGCAAACATTTCAAGGATTTAAAACTTTGATGATTTCACAAACTACTATGATCATTATAAGCATGCCAGAGAAGAAAGTAGAGGAACATATCTATGCAGCGCCATGTTATTAAATAATTTCAGATGAAAATTCGTATTACTCGGACAAAGATTCTGCCATGCAATCACTAGCAGAATACACTATCAAACTAATTCTTAAATTTTAACATAGAATAACTAAGAGTCAAATCGAGACTACTCAATAAATTAAAATGAAAATTTGTCTGAGGTGCCAAGAAAAAGGGCCATAACTCCTTCTAGAGGCTAAAAAATACAAATTAAACAAAAAATAAAAACTCAAATTATATTCTAAACTTCAGTTACCTTGCTCAAAAATATAATTAGCCGTTCAAACTTCAGGTAAATAGTTGAATTTAGGCCATAAGGAAGTGCTAGTTGCAATTCTAAAATCTAAAAATGAGATTAAAAAAAATGAGATTAAGCTCTGGCAATAAAAAAAAATACCCACTTGCTTGTTAAAAACATATAAAAATAAAAAAAAATTCTAGCAACCTGTAAAATTATTTCCACAAATTTGAGTGGCACAAAAACAAAATACTGTTCTGCAGCCCCAAAAACATAAATCATTTTTCATAGAATAAAACATAAATCAAGCACAAGAACATATGATTCAACTATCATAAACATGTTCTGTTAGCTTGAAATTTCCATAATCAACACAAAATATAAGATTAAACTATTTGATTCAAAACCCTAATTCTCATCTAAATGTATTTCAAAAATCACTTGCAAACTCATTTTTTTTAATTATTTTTTCTTATGAAATAGAAAGTACCACATATCTATCTATAGTGATATATTGAAAAGAATCAAAGAAATTCTTACCTCAAACTATGAAGAACAAATCTGAAAATGCAAAGCTTGCCGGATCAAGAACCCGAGACTACCATTGCGAAGAGTGCAACGAGCTCTCCAACTTTTCTTTACAAAAATTGTGCAAAATCTCAAAACTCCCACTCTAAGCTTGAGCAACAATAGTAAAACTTTAAGAGAGTGAAAGAAAGAGCCGAGAGAGAGAGAGAGAGAGTTGGCTGAAAAGAAGAAATGAAAGACAAAATAAAGAGAAGGAAAATAAAGGGGGCAGCCACGTGGCTTGCTCCTCTCCATTTATTTATATATGTATAGATATATGTATAGATATGTATTCATCTATATATACATTAATTAAAATTATTTTAATAATACTTTAATATTTTATAATATAATTAACAAAATGATGTAATATTTTTAACCATAAAATATATATTTTGTTAGATGGTACATACCATAAATATTCATAACTCTCTTATCATAATAATAATAAACAATTATATATGAGATGTAATTTAATCAATTGGGTCCAAAATGAATAAAATTTAATAATCTAAAATAAATCTCTAATTGAGACTATAGTACAAAATACTTTAAATAAACTCAAGATGGTCCCCATTGCTCACAATTAAACATGACCACTAGGTTCTGGAAATGTTCAAAACGATGTAGTCTTGTTAAAATATAACTATTTTTTTTTTTAATTTTCTGTGACCACAATTTACTTGGTCACCAAAAGTTTAGAAATGCGCCAAATTTTTTCGCTCTCTCGCCACTACCTTCAACAACCGCATTTTACATTTGCTCACAAAAGGTTCTGTATTGGCTACCAAAAGAGCTGCTAGTCGCTAAAACTTTGATCATTCACGACTAAAATTTATTTTGGTCGCAGAAAGTAAGCTATTTGTGACCAATTCTGGGTGTAGTTGCGAAATGTAGTTGCCAAAAGGTTTTAAGATCCTTTTTTTTTTTCTTCCCCTCTCCTACCGTTACTTTCCGTGACCATATATATTTTTTTTTGGTCGCAAAAAATTACCTATTAGCTACCAAAATGTCATTGGTCGCAAAAACACATCTCATCAGCGACCAAAAAAATTTTAGTCGTAGAATGTCAACTATCTACAACCAACTCAAAAAAGGTGGTCGCCAAAAGTGTTTTTTTCTTGTAGTGAGGGTGCACAAAACAGTGCGATACAAGGTGAATGCACAAAACTGTGCGATCCAAGGTGCACAAAATAGTGCGATGCATGGTGCACAAAACAGTGCGATACAAGGTGAATGCATAAAATAGTGCGATGCAGAATACACAAATTAGTGCGATACAAGGTGAATGCACAAAATAGTGCGATGTAAGGTGCACAAAACAGTACGATGCAAGGTGCACAAAAGAGTATGATGTAGGGTAAATGCACAAAACAATGCGATGCAGGGTGCACAAAACAGTGCGATACAAGGTAAATGCACAAAATAATGCGATGCAAGGTACACAAAACAGTGCGATTTAGGGTGCACAAAACAGTGTGATTCCAAGGTGCACAAAACCATGCGATGCAGGGTGCACAAAATAATGTGATCTAGGGTGAATACAAATGCAGTTGATAGTGCTATGCGAAATATGAATGCACAAAACAGTGCTATGAAAGATGAATGCACAAAACAGTACTATGCGAAATGCACAAAACAGTGCGATGCAAGTGCACAAGACAGTGCATCATGTACATTATGAAATGAGCGTGGGGCAACTTGCCACAATTCATTAAAATGTAACTGAAAAAAACTACGAAAGGTAACTCAATGAAACTCTATTTTTTACAGCACAAAATCAAGAGTAAGACCAGCCAATCGCACAGTTCAAACAGGGTGTATGAGCATGCATGCACAATCCAAAGCACATGTATTAATCAAAGGAAAGATGGCGATCCCAATAGAGTCTGGAAATGGTCGGAGACAACTTTCGAAAGCTGAATCGTATCAGAATCATCATGGAGGTGAGCTACCCTTATCCAAGGGAAAGTGCTCGACAAATGGCTTTGAGTGGACCGAGAGACATGTTGTGTAGGTTAGGTTCATGCCCCTTGTTCAATTGATGACCCGATCAGATGTATTGAAAATTGCCCCTAGTGTCCAGTCATTGGCCACCGGTTGGATTCATGCCCCTTGTTCGATTGATGACCTGATCAGATGCATTGAAGAAAATTGCCCATTGTTCGATGGATGGCTCGATCAGATGTACTGAAAATTGCCTCTAGTGTCTAGTCACTGGCCACCTTTTTCAACATATGCAAGCACGTATGATAGGGATCATCAGATATTGGAACGGCTACCAATCAATCAAACTCATGCTTCTCTTCTGTCCCAGCGTGTTGAGAACTTACTTCATTCCCCTCCAAAGCAGTGACAGATTCCTTATATATACTTTGCAATAATCATGAACGCATGCTCTTTGTATGGGAACTCTCAGTATGTTTATGAATTCCACACATGGACTTGTTTTTGAGTTTGGAGCGAACATTCGTGTATGGAATTTTGGCAATGCCACTCTATTGAACTTTGAGTGACAGACACGCTATGGTGACTCGATGAAGAGTGCTTTTGAGCGACAGACACACTATAGTGACTCGATAAAGAGTGCAGACTGAGACAAACACCAGGCATGACACAACAGAACTCACAACAGACCCAAAAGCAGAAAAAGACTCAAGGTAATTGATCATTCATAATGCCCCTAGTATTACTTATGTTCTCAATTTCGATTCCCCTTTTTTGCTCAAGTTAGAGATTCTACTATTAAGTTCAAGTATTGAAAATTGCCCCACTTATTGATTCAAGCTAGTTATTTCTTACCCAACGCAAGTATATGATATGCCCAGCAGTCGGTGTAACTTATGGATTGATGTAAAGCTGATGACGTGAATTAGGCAAGGTGATTGAGTCGAGATCAATAAGATGGATATGGTTGAGATCGAACTTCAAGATGAAGTTGCCTACGTATCCCAAGAATGGAAATCAGGTCAACGTAGCTCATGGCTGAGGTTCACTTGGGTATTAACTCTCTCCTTTGGCCCTCTAACTTTTTCCAAAGTCACCCATTCGGGTTTTCAACCTTGCGAGCTCTATTTATTTGATTTCTCATTTTCCATGCTCTAATTTTTGCCTAGGTCGCCCTTTTGGGTTTTCGGCCTAGCAAGCCTCTCAAGGATAGCATCACAACATTTGCAGTGAATTTGATCAATAGTCATCCTTGCCCTAATACTAGAACTGGCTTCATCTTGATTTGAGCTTGATTCTCCATTCTCTTATGCATGTCTTTGTCCCTTCTTTTGCTCCATTCACAAAGTTGATGTGATACTTTCTCGCATTGGCTTTTCCGCATTCAGACAAAAGTTTCCTTCCTCATGGTTAATTGGATTTTAATCCAATGAATACCGCTGGCTTGATGGTTGACTTCTTTTCCTTTTCCTTTTTCTTCTCTTTATTTACTTTTTATTTTTTTTGGCGTAATGAAAACACTAGAGGGAGAAATTCTATGTTTGTGAGGTCTGAAAGCCGCCTTGTACTTGCAGGTCCGAAAGCCGCCTTGTGCTTGCCAAAATGATCGCCTAACAGTGAAGAGAATCCCCAGGACAATGTAGAATACCATGCACCATTCTAAACCTATCTTCGCAAGTTTTGCAAAAGAAACAAGTTTAAACTTTGAAATTATGAAGGACTCTGCGATGATAATCCAAAATTCATTCTAACCATTTAGGGGATCCTTCTCAACACTCGTGCTTATTGACGGTATCTCATTCAAAAAACAAATTCAAAGCTCTTTCTATTTTTTAAAAGGTCACACATGCATTACTGTAGGCACAACAAAATGATCAAAAAACTTGACTCCCGCTTTCTTATTATTAAAACAACAAAGACTCAAGGGTACAAGAGAGCGACTCAAGGGGAAAGGACTCAACTAACGCAACAACGCAAGAAAAGGCAAAGAAAATAAAACTCACAATAACTATTTACAAGACACAACCCAAAACAAAATCAGCACCCTAGAGACAAAAAGGGTTTTTACTCCCCAAATCCATCTGCAGATTTCAAAAACAACTTCAAGTAGCCCACGAGAGGGCTCAAACCAGTC